AAAGGAGCATCTTTTCAAAGAAATAATGTGACACCATTTCCTGGGTGTAAAGGACATGAGTTTCTAGATTGAATGAGCACCAGGTGCCCAGCACAGCAGATGAAAAGGACAATTTCAGAACACCAAAGACAAATAAAGGATCCTAAAAAATAAATCAAGAATCAGGATGGCTTACAACTTCCAAGTTTCAACAGGAAAACTAGAAGTCAACAGAGCTATGTCTTCAAAATTCTGAAGGCAATTTCCAATCATATCCGGAGCAGAACAGTCATTTTCAGTGATGCAAGGTCTGACCATGGTGCCTCCAACACAGTTTTTTTTTTTAAAGATTTATTTATTTATTTATTTGACAGAGACAGACACAGCGAGAGAGGGAACACAAGCAAGGGTAGTGGGAGAGGGAGAAACAGGCCTCCCGCAGAGCAGGGAGCCCAATGCAGGGCTCGATCCCAGGACCCTGGGATCATGACCCGAGCCAAAGGCAGACGCTTAACGATTCAGCCACCCAGGCGCCCCACAACACAGTACTTTCTTAGGAAACTACTGGAGAATGTTTCACCAGAATAAGGGAATAAACAAGAAGATGTGAAATCCAGGAACTCCTATTTGACAAAAAGTTGTATACAAGAAAGAAAATGCCATCATAATTGATCGTCTCATTCGCATGCTCACTGAATTGTAAACAATTTAAAAATTCAAAATATTTTCTGAAGATAGAGGAAAAATGGGGGAGGACAAACATGAGTGAGAAGAAGTTATCTCCTACAGGGAGAGAGGCTCAGAGGTGGTAAAAGATCTAAACTCTCAACTTCCACAGGAAAATCAATAGGTGATATCTGAAAAAAAAATTAAGATATAGCAATATGTGCATATTAGTTTAAAACATGGAGAGAAATACTGCAACTGCTAAAATCTTGAAAGTAGCTGCCTCTGGGAAGTGGAAAGGAGACTCTGAAATTTCCATCAACAATTATGTGGTACTATATGATTTTTTAAGCCATTAATATGTATTACTTTCATAAGAATAGTAATACCATTAAATTAAAAAAATCATTTAAAAAGGATGAAATAAATCAATATGAACAGGTTTGAGAATACATGTTAAAAAGTGAGTTGCAAAACAATACGAATAGTATCATATTTATGTCTCAAGAAATGTCGACAACATACACAGGTACTCACACATACGATACAGTAAATACATAGAGAAAGGTCTGAAAGGTCTGGAAGGACATGCAAACTGGAGGGAGAATGGGACTGGGGTGGGGGAGGGACAACGGTAATTCACTTTTTTCTATATGTACTTCTTATTTAATGTTTTGTACAACAAAGATATTTTGAAACATTCATAATACATTGTCATAAAAAAAGCGCTGATAGAAAGGTATGTATTTGGTATCATCTCCATTGTGTTTTTTAAAATGTAGCTTCTAAATTTTTTTTTTTCATCAAAAGGACTCCTTTATCTCAAACAAAATATTACCTAATTCCCAATTTAAGCAGACAGGAATGAACCTGCAATGAATAAAGCAAACAAACAAACAAAAAAATGAATAAAGCAGGAGCAGGGACCCCGTGCTCTGGTCAGCCAGTCATCCACCTGCCCCAGGCTGTCCAGGGGCCCTAAAGCAACCTCAGGGCTCCAGGCAGCATAGTGTAGAAACTGCTACTATCATAAAGGGGAAAGAAAAACTTGGAATGTGACTTTCTCTGAGATATGGGATTACAAGCAATTTTTCTTTTTCTTTTGTTTAATACATATACCTACATACCTTTCCTATAATTTGGAACAGTTTACATAATAATCTGTTCCTTAACATGCCTATATAACCACCTAAAACCTCACATACTTGTAGCAGCAAGGTGTAGAGATGGCCAAAAAAGCTTCATTAATCTTTTCAAGTTATCGTTCTATATTTACATTTCCTATTTCTTACATTGACTTCAATCATTTATATTTTTCTGGAAAATTTTATCTTATCTCTATCAAATTTATTGCATAATTTTACGGTCATCTTTCTTTTCAAAAATTCAGTTTTAAGGGGCGCCTAGGTGGCTCAGTTATTAAGCGTCTGCCTTCGGCTCAGGTCATGATCCCAGGGTCCTGGGATCAAGCCCTACATCGGGCTCCCTGCTCAGGAGGAAGCCTGCTTCTCCCTCTGCCACTCCACCTACTTGTGTTCATTCTCTCGCTGTCTCTGTCCAATAAACAAATAAAATCTTTAAAAAAAAAATTCAGTTTTAAAAAGGTCTTAGTTTTCAATTCTACTTTAACACTATTTTCTAACTAAAACTGTAATTAAATGCTTCTAGTTTTGACTTTTTGATTGCCATTAATTTCCCATTTTTTTCTAAAGATTTTATTTATTTATTTAGAGAGAGAGCACACACAAGTGGGGGAAGGGGCAGAAGGAGAGGGAGAGGGAGAATCCCAAGCAGACTCCGCACTGAGCTTGAAGCCTGACACGGGGCTCAATCCCATGACCCTGAGATCACGACCTGAGCTGAAATCAAGAGTCAGATGCTTAACTGAATTAGCCACCCAGGCACCCCTCATTTCCAGCTTCTTGAACTGAAAGTCAAGTTCATTATTTTCTCAGTTTCTTATTTATAATAAAAGCATTAGAAGTTATCAGTTTCCCCCTGAGTGTAGTTTTGGCTGAATCCCTTAGGTTTTTGTTGTTTAGTGTTCTTGTTGTCATTAGTATCTAAACAGTATACTATTTCAATGTTTTATCCCCTTTGACCCAACCACTATTTCAAGTAGACAAATATTTTTAAAACTTTTATCATTAATTTCTAGTCTTATTTCATTGCCATGAAGAGACTGGCCTGTAAGACTTTTTTTTTTTCTATTTTAAAATTTTCAGAGTGATCTGGTACATAGCCAATTTTTATAATTGTTCCAGCGCATTTGCAAATAATCCTTCAACAAACAGCCTTTTGCTATTTGTCCGTGGTATGCCCCTACTTCTGCTCTCCCACTGGATCTGGGTCCCTCCATTATCTACTCCTTATTGACTGCTAAGTATCGGTAATCATCTCCTTTATGTTGTGGAAATTCCTCAAATTTTCTGGTTCATGGCAGCTGCTTCTGGAATTACAAGAACATTCTTCTCCTTAATTTTATTGTTCTTTTGTCATTTCCATGGAATTTTTTTGGAAATGAAGGGCAAAATAATGGGCTCAAAATATAGCATAGTACGTGAGACCTCAGTCTCTAAAACCAGAAAGACCAACGTCTGAATTCTAATTCTACCACTTCTTTGCTGCAGGACCTTGAATATGTTACTTAAATTCTCAGAGCCTGTTTCTAGATATAAAATAGTAATTATAATAGTTGCACCTAAGTTTGTCAAAAGAGGTCAATGAGAAAATGCAGGTACCTACTGAATCCATCATCTGACAAGCAGTAGTACACAGTAACATTAGCTCTTGTTGCTGAAATGGGGTCTATGCTCCAAAGTTTTTATTACTTAATGTAAACAAAAAGGGAGCAGTATTTTCCACCAGAGCCTCATCATAAACATTATGGATATATTTGACAATCCCAACTAAGACAGTTATCTAAGAACTTATAGTCTAACTTCATTAATAACACATGATTACTAGACATTTATAATTTGTGTGCTCTATAGACAACATGTAAAAGAATTTCCTTTCTGTGAGTCTGTAATGATTACAAAGAAATATACCACTTCCTCCAGTACTTTAAAAAAAAAACCAGGTATATACCCAAAATAATTAAAAGCAGGGACCTGCACAGATGTTTGTACAACAATGTGCATAGCAGCATTATTCACAATAGCCAAAATGTAGAAAACTCACATGTCCATCAGTGAGGAGCAAAATGGAGTATGTATATACATACAATGGAATATTATTCTGTCTTAAAAAGGAAGGAAATGCTGACACATGTTATAACATGGATAAACCACAAAGGCATGATGCTAAATTAAATGAGCAAGACACAAAAGGACAAATATTGTATGGTTCTACTTATATTAGGTAACTAATCAAATTCATAAAGAAAGACTCTGAAAGAATAGTGGTTGCCAGGGGATGGGAGGAGGGGGTAAATGGGGAGTTGTTTTTTAATGGGTACAGAGTTTCAGTTGGGAAAGATGAAAAAGTCCTGCTGATGATGACTGCATAACAATGTGAATATATTTCACCAATGAAATGTACATTTAAAGATAGTTAAAATGGTAAGTTTGATGTTATATATATATTTTGCCACAATTTTTAAAAAGTAATCAAGTGCCTACACAGTGGTGAATCTCTATTTAATTCTACATACTACTACTTAAAATCTGAGTAAAACATTTTGAAAATATGTCTTAAGGCTAGATAACACAATTCAGCTGGTTCAGAGGGCAAACATTAACCTCTGCTCCCTCAGACTCATGTTCACTACTCTTAAATCTTTAAGAGGTGTGGGGGGGCAGTCTTCACACTTATACCCACAAATACTTTCTTTTACACTCTTAAAAGTGGACATAGAAATGTAGTATAATTCTACTTAAGTAAATCTATCCTAATAAAGAAATCTTTATAGAAAAGTTTTTTCTATAGAAACATTTTCTTTACAACAGCAAAAACTAAAAACCACCTAAATGCACAACAATGAAGGAAGAGCTAAGTAAATTACAAAGCAAATGGAATGTTACACAGCTAACAAACAGGATTCTATGAATGAGATGGAAAAATGCATATGTGATCAGTGATTTTAACTATGTAAAAAAAATACATTCTAAAAAGACTAAATGAGACATCAACATGTTAATAGGTGATTACCTTTGAGAAGTATGAGTAATGATCCCTCTTTATACTTTTTCTGCTTTTCCAAATATTCTCTATTTCTTTTTGCTTTTGTAATGCATTATTTTTATAATGGGAAAATATATCCTTTTATTTCTTTTAAATGTAAATAAAAGACAAAGAAGAATAAAAATTTAATTCCCGTCCCACCCCCCGCCCCCCGCCCAGCAAGTACTCACATTCTCGGGTATGCTGGGAAGTTCTCTAGTATCAGGCACAGTAAAATAAGAATGCTGGAAAAGAAAAGCATATGCTATTTACTTCCGCAAAAATATGCAACAAGCACATTATTCAGAAATCAGATAAATGATCTGAAGGTAGTTCCTCACTCAGATGAGGAAACAGAGTTTCACTCACAGGAAATGACTACAGAACATTTTCTTTGGATAATGCTGGGTTACAGCCAGACACCCTAAGTCACCAGTTTGGTAGATGGAATTCTTTTCTATGAGAGATGAACTTCTTTCGTAGATATAAATGAACAGCTCAAAGAGGTTAAAGGCTAAATTCCCCTACAATGTTTGCACATTTCTGAACACATGAAAGCTGCAGGCTTCATAATTTATTGTTCAATGAGGCAAGTGGACTTGAGGGACCAAGTATCACTAGGTTCACTCGGCAATGGCCTTACCAACCAAACCTGCCATTTCATTTTAGCATCTGAGATTATATCCATATACAAGCTGCGGGCAAAATCTGCCCCAAAGGCCCAAGTGATGTTAAGGACAGCTCCAACTGAAGGACTGCTGCACTGAGACCATTACAGTTGCCTAAGAGTGAGAATTCTGTCCCCTAAGCATGCTCTGCAAAGAAGCCTCCTGACTTCTAGTGTAATCTCCAGTGAAGGGAGTGGGAGACTCAATGGAGCTGAAAACCTGATCTGTTCAAAGAACTTTCAAGGAGGCATCCCAATGTATGTAACGGGCATATGTCCCTGAGTTAAATGACAACAGGCTGGACTGATGACACCTCCTCTGAACTACTAAAGACTCAGAGGACAATGGCAAGCAGGAATGGAGAGTCTGGTGCTGGCCAATTAAAGATGGGATTGTGCAAAGGGCAGGAAAGGTCGCAGCAGAGAAGGTCAGCTTAGCCATGGCCTAAGTTCAAACCTGGACCCCCAAGTGACATTTCAGGAAGTCCCTCCCCTCCATTCTTAGATAATTGCAAAATAAGTAGGTCTCAAGAAGAATGAGTTGTACAGACTTCTTGAAATGAAAAGCTGGGGGACAACTGCAGTAATGACAATAACAACAGTAATAGTATGAGCTACTTGCCTAATATTCAACAGATATCGACCTGCTACATGGAAGGCTTTATGCCAGGTATTTGTATCAGTATTATCTTTAATTTCCCTAATTTTAAGATACATATTATCTCCATATCACAAATGGGTAAACTGAGGCTTAGGGCTCTAAGGTCACCCAGCTAGCAGATGATAGGAACTGAAACCATGCCTGCAAGAACCCTATGCTCTTCCCACTAAAACAGCTTGCGATACCTACACTTCTTATGAACAAATTATAGCTAAAGCCACTTGAACTGAAATAAACTAAAAAGTAAAAACAAAAAACATTATGAAAAGACCACTTAAAAAAAAAAAAAGAAACCCTCCACAAAGCATCATTCCAAAAACTGCGTGTCTGTGCCAAAATATTACCCATGAAGTATTAACAGTAGAAATTCTGCAGCATGAAAACTAGTTAACAATTGATTCAATTTAACAATGATTAAAATAGCAAAAGTAAAATACAAAGTTAAACGTGATGCCATGAGATACCAACTTCTTTATGAAACGGCTATAGAAGCGGGTCCCAGGAAATGTTTGGTAACGGACATCCATGGGTGATGGAGTGACAACGTAACTGCCTGCACAGTGAGGAAGAAAACTCAAGGGCCACAGAGTCACCACTTCCTAGCTATGTGATCTCAGGCAACCTCACTTAACAGCTCAGAACCTCAGTTTTGAACCTGTATATGGGAATTGTAAACATCTACTTCAAAACTGTTACGAAGAATAAATGTCACAGATGTGAAGTGCCTAGCATTCCATGAACGATATTTTAATAGAAAATTATTATTATTGCTAGTTTACATTTCTATTTTTCTCAATCACCTATATTAGACACACAGAAGTATTCTGTTCTGAAGACACAAAGTCAAGGACTGTCATTTTTCCACATTTCAGGCTTTATAAACTAGATGAGATTCACCCTTCAAAATCTGAAATGCAACATGGCGAGAATCCCTCATGAACAGGAAAGAAACATATATCTGCCTTTACAGATGCAGTGGGTTGTGAATAGTGAGGCATCACAATTCCAAAACCAAGTCATCCCCAGGCTGTCCTTTGAGATTCTGTCTTGCTCCATCACCCATGAAATGCTGGGACCAGAGGAGGTCAGAAACATTCCTAGGAACCACTGGCACGAAACAGCTGCACCTCCTCCCCCCAACAGTTTCTCCTCCTGCCCTTGGGATGGCTTGTCCTTGAGGCCTGGCAGCCACTCAGGGGAAGGAGTGGCCCTGCCTCCCCAGCAGCTGGTGACCCAGCCAGGCTACTCCACAGCTACCTGTCGGATGTCATTACAGACTGAAGCAGAGAGATCAAGCTGATTTAGGAAAAGGGACAGAGACAAAGGCAAGGTTGTTTAGCTATCTGGCAATGACCTGGGCAGGTTTAAAGCTCGTTTCTTCATCTTTTCCAGGCAGTCTTCCCTACGAGAATTTCTCTTAAGATTCTTTTCCTTCCTATGCTCTATTAAAATGAGCAAAAACCTCTACAAGTTCCTTCTTTGCTCCCTTTCTTTCAACACCCATGGCCTAGTAGAAGGAACATAGGCTTGGAAGTTAGCCCTGGGTTTGAAAAACCCAAACTTCTCACTTACTAACCACATAGCCTTGAGTGAGCAAGTACTTTTCCTCTCTAAGCCTCATTTATAGGATGACAACACTACTATCTGTTTTGCAGAGTTGTTTTGAGCACAAGGGATGCACACTTGGCAGAAATTAAGAACTTAATGAATAGAAGATCTATTATTAGTTACTGGTAGTAATATTGCTTTCAATTTGCTCATCATAAAAAAAAAACCTGTAAGATATGTTCTTTCTTTATGAGAGCAAATACCAAGATCCTAACCACTAAATATCAACACTGTACCTAGTTCTAGAGAAGAAGAAGATAAAACTTCCCATTATTTTAAAAATCTATCTATCCATCTATCTAACTATCCATCTATCTATCAAAAGGCAGACTGCCGGATGCAACACCTCATTTGCATGTGTCTAGAGTCTTGGAAGCCTGACTACCCTACATTCTCCTACAGCTAGACCCTGAGAGCTTGTCTGGAGGTTCTAATGGGGGAGCACAGCTACTCATGTACCCTTGACTGAAGAACGGTCCTCCTCTATCAGAGAAGGTTGTCCTCTTTGACTGAGCACACAGCTTCAGGAGGGATGCACATGATGGTGAGGGAGGAAGGGGACATCTGTCTAGGCAGCCAGATCAGCCAGATCAATGGGGTGACAGATGTCACAACCAGATCACCCTCACATCCAATAAAACTGTTTAAACATTCAGGGGAGCCTCGGTGCCTCAGTCAGTTACGTGTCTGACTCTTGATCTCAGGGTCTTGAGATCAAGCCCTGCACTAAGGTCCATGCTCAGCATGGAGTCTGCTTGAGATTCTCTCTCTCTCCCCCTCTGCCCCTCCCCCACACCCTGTGCTCACACACTCTCTCTCAAAAGAAATAAAATCTTAAAAAAAAAAAATAAAACTTTTTAAACATTCAGATCTCACAACATAGGGAAAACAGCCCCTGGGTAATCAAGAGCTGGCCTAAGGGTGTCCATCTGAGAATTCTGATGAAGGTGGTGACAAGGGCTTGACCTAGAGAATTAGAGAATTCCAATAACTGAAATATGAAAAAGATCACCTACGCCTCTTTTGATGCCTTATCCGATCAATGAAGAACTCAAGGTCCACAAGGTCAAAGGTTTTAATTAAGATCACTCAGGTCACTGGCGAAACTACAGCTAGGACTGAAACTTCCCAGTTCAGAGGGTTTTCCACCCAGCATACTATATATCACGTAGCAGGTATTTAAAAGAGTTTAAAGAAACAATTATTACTGTAGGTTAGGAACTATGCTAGGCTCTCTCCATCCCTGTCCTTGAGGGATTTACAGCCCAGTGGCCAAGATAGGAAAACAGATGTGGTATGAATAAGCACTGCAAAGTGTACAAGATGCTTGGGGCAAAGAAGAAAACCTTGACTAAGTCTTGGGGAAGGGGGCCAAGGGGAGGATTTCTCTGGAAGTAAAATCCAAGGTGAGTTCTGAAGGATGAATGTAAGCCAGCTTGGTAAAGAGGAGAGAGGCAGTGTTGAAGGTTCAGGGGCAACACGATGGGCAAAGAGGCATGCACAGCAGTGCTGGGAGGCAAAGCATGAGGCAGGGAGCCCCAGGATGGGGGCTGAGGAGGCAGGTAGGGGCCATTTCAAGCCCAGTACCTGCCACCTAGGATATGCTAGTGATGGGATGACAACCAGGAAGAGAGGAGCCTGGAGACATTTGGGACCTATTCCTTGTTGGAATCCCAGAGAAAGGAAGAAATTGAACTCCCTGGCCTATCTTGAGTCCAGAGGTTTCAGAGTATTCGGAGGTAGCACTGGGGAAGGTGCAGAGGACAAAAGACGATCTGGTTCGGCTAACTCCGCCTCACTGTTAATAATGAAATGGTTTCTCGGTGATCCGCTAATTTTCTGCCCCCACTTACCACGCTGAGATGAACAGACACTCCTGGGTCAGGAATGGGAAGTTTGTGCAGAGTTTCAAGAAGCTCATTCCACTGATTCTCCTGAAAGAAATAAAAGGCCTAAGTAACAAAAGCAAGGCTGAGCCCTTAGTCAGAGGCCTGCAGGGAGGTCTGGGCACACAGTGAGCCGGAGGCCCTCTTGATGAAGGGGGCTGGGGAGGGGCTGGCCCCAGTACAGAAATAGGCTTGATATTCAAGTAGGGTTGGACAAAAGACACTGCTTATGGCTCAATATAAGAGCCAAAGAGATCCTCCCACACCAAGTTTGACATTTTCTACTGAGTGAGACACCTACCATGACCGCCTTTTATGGATCATATACCATAAGCTCGCAGCAAACCTATCCTCTCAACTCCATAGCAACAACTTTTAAATGCAAACAATCCTAGCTTACAGGGCGGGGGTGGTTGGGAGGAATAACGATGACACTACGGATCTTGTCTTCATCATCATTACCCTCAATTAATTTTATTGAGTGTTCACTGGATACACACAGCAGCATCCAATTATGGAAAGTTAAAATGAACTACATACAGCAGCATGCAATATAGTATGGTGGCTGTGCATTTTAATTAGTGAAATTGAGCCACAGAATGAAATACAAAGCAGTACAAATTATTCGACTGAAAACAGATTCACTTTTAAAATGCTCAAAAGAACGCTGCTTACAGAATTATGCAAAAGCCATTTCTCCCACCCTGTGGAATTGTCTGTGCTAATAGAATAGTATTACGCTTACATATGTTTCCATTTGTTGTCTGTTTGATGCTCATGACTATCCCACTTCACAGACTGAAAACTGAGGCTCTGAAGGCTGAAACAACTGGGCTCAGATCAGCCAGTTCGTAAGTTGCACAGCCAGGAGCTACATGCAGGTTTTCTGTGTTTGAGCCCAGAGACCTCTCCACTGCTTCACAGCAGTCTTGGGTTGTGAATTTAAAGGAGAGGCAAAAAGAGGATGAGTGCAGATTAAAAACCTGCTTCAATCTGAACTCTGATCATTCAAGTTTCTCACGGAGGAATGAACATGTGTGCACGTGCACACGTTTAATTTTGCTCTGAAACTATCTCAAATTTACATAATTATAGGACAGCAATTTTGTATTTCCCGAACTACTCAACAGTGAGTTATGGACATTATGTTCCATCATCCATAAATACAAAGGACATTCTCCGGTACAACCACAACTAATCATCAAAATCAGGAAATTAACACTGATAGAACATTATCATCAAATCCTCAGATCCCTTCAAGTTTTATCAATTGTGCCCATAATGTCCTTGGATAGCAAAATAATCCAGCTCAGAATCACATGTTGCCTTTAGTTATAAAACTCTGGTCTTCATCAGTCTGGAACAGGTCCCGAGTCTTTCCCAGATTTGTAGGCACTTGACAGTGAGACCAGCCATTTTGTGGAATAGTTCTCCATTGTCTGATGTTTTCTATTGATTCAGACTTCAATTCATTCCATTACTCATGATGTTCACTTTGATCATTTGATTAATTCATCTGACATCTCTACTGTGAAGGTACTCATTCTCCCTTTGTCTTTAGCAAGCATTTTGTGGAGTGATACTTTATGTAAACATCCCCTTCCTCAAACTTTTAACTTATCTATTTACTTATTTATATCGGTAAGCACACATGGTTCCTGTTTTATTCAATGGCTATAAGACTTTGCTATCGTTATTTGTTTTAATGCTCAAATTGTCCCAGATTGGACCAGTGGGAAGCCCTCAACCACTTCAAGCTCACTTCTGTGTCTTTCTGACATGTCCCCATCATGTTTTGAGCACTTCCTTTGAACACTTTTTGGCACAAAAAGATATTCCAGGCTCATTTTATACTTTCCCTGCCCTGGCCCTAGAATTAGACATTTCTTCAGAGAGCCCTGGCTCCTTTTAGTGGAAAATGTTATTTAGAAACCAAGATTTGCATACTAGCTGTGCTCATTGCTACCTAGGTATTGCTAACCCCAGACTCTTTTAGTGGTTAGAGCCAGAAAATACAGTACGCACACAGACACCCACAATAGACGCACCTTTACTGATTCCTATTATCACATGTTTTGTTCATACTAATAGCTCTAATTCCAATCCAACATAGGAATCCTTCTAGTTTCCTTCCTTTTCATATTTGTAACTAAATTCTATAGAAATGAAGAATCAATCCTATTTTCTTAATATATTTACTTATTTGTATGTAACCAATCTTTTATGACTGACCCTATCCACCCAGAAGCCCCCCTTGCTCTGCTTGAATAGGGATATCCAATGCTAGGCTGCTACTGTCTACTCCTCCCCAACAAGAATGCCTTCCCCACCCTAGGCTCCAATACTCCAGTGCTGAACCACGGCGGCCCCCTTTCCCTTGTGGATCCTTCTAGATCCTCCTAGAGTTCTGATATTTGGTGCCAAGCCATTGCCACTATTACTGCATGCACATAAACAACCGCTTTGTCCCTCAGGCTCCAACACCCTCGGCCAGGCTGTTCTCCAGCTCAGATGCCCTCTTCAACCCCTGCCAATTCTTCCACAGGGATGTCCTCAATGCCCCATCCATGGTCTGATAACCATGGTGGATCAATGACCCAGACAGACACCCCCATCATGTATCTTAGGCTCCAACACTCCACTCTGAGCCGTCATGGTCACTACCAACCCCCACACCCTCCAATTGAAACCTACCATGCCCAAAGACTTTTGGACTTGGGGAGGGGATTCTGTTTTTTTAATAAAAGCTCTTTCCTCCTGTTCTATCTGATGACCCACACCCTGCCAACAAGTAAGGCAGTTGTAGACAGATTTCCTATCATTTGTGTCATAATTCCTTTAACCAGAAAAAAAATTAATAGAAAGAGTACTGGATACAGGGGAAACAGACTCCACTAAAACACATCACTGATCACAACTCTTCAACACTCCAAGAGGCAGGGTCCTTCCTGGGGCAATGGCCCAGAGGACTCGTGCACCAATTTTACAGGGTAATAATCCTATCTCCCCTATGCATAGGCTGTACAAACCTAACCTTTTCTGTACCACAAGACATGTTTTTAAATGTCTACTATGTTTTGACTGGAACATTAATATGGAAGAAAAAAATATGTGAGCCAATCTCCAATTCTAAGACTGTTAAGAGCCTACGTGTGATGCAATTCTATTTACTAAAGATATCCTTCAAATTTGAGTGAAAACCTGAATGTTTGACTAAAGTGAATTGTCAACATAAATTGATGAACAGACCCAAGGTGGCCTCTGAATTCATTCATCAAAGAATAAATCACTTCCTTCATGACAAAATTCCCGGATACCTAAGCATCCTCTGAGAGTGAGTGTAGTGACCTAGGGAGCCATTTCTATTAGCTATTCCTTCCGATTACTGTGGCCTCTGGAATACATTGCTGGTGAGTAAATCTTACTTGAAGGAAAGATTTCTCCATTATACACGTTTTCCACTTTTTCTCCAAAGCAGGATTTCCTCAAGTATATTCTAGGAAACACTGGTATCTCAGAATATTAATATTTGTCATGGAATAAAAAGGGTTTAGGGCCAAACAAGATGGGAAGCATGGAATAACACGTTTCTCCACGGCAGGACCTTCTCAGAGCCACCAGGACATGAATCTTAAGGAGACAAAAATGAAACACAGACTTCCTTCTCCCCAACCCCAATATTACTGAACTATGGCACCCCTTTTTTTAATGGATCGAATGTGCTGTAGAAAGTATGAGGAGAAAAAAATTTCTATAACATTTAATAATAAAGTATCATCAATTAAAAACATTAGACCATTTACAAAAAGGAAAATTTAAGGAATTACATATATGGACAAATATTCAACTACTCATAAAGAAATGCAGTTAAAACAATGAGTCTGTTCACTTGGCAAATAAACAACAAATTCAACAAATGGTACTGGCGAGAGTATGGTGAGCCAGGCACTCCTGTACATTCCTAGTAAAGGACATCTTTTAAGAAAACAGTACAAATTCTTCTGGAAAACAGCTTGGCAAATTTTTTAAATGTTTATGTCCACTGCCCTAAAAAATGGCCCCTCTGAGATTCTCCTCTTAAGGAAATACTCCAAAAAGAAGAAAATGCTTTATGTTCAAAGATGCTAATAGCTACAACTACAGTGGAAAAAGAAATCCCAAATAATGAAAACTCCCAACAGGGGCACCTGGGTGGCACATTCGGTTAAGCGTCCAACTCTTGGTTTTGGCTTAGGTCATGGTCGCAGGGCCATGAGACTGAGCCCTGCATCAGGCTCCATGCTCGGTGGGGATTCTGCTTCTCTCTCTCTCTCTCTCTGCCCCTCCCCCACTTTGTATGTGTATGGGTGTGCATGTGCTCTCTAAAATAAATAAATAAATCTAAAAAAAAAAAAAGAAACAATTTCCAACAACAGGGAAATGTTTCTAAGGTCCATAATAAAATGCTATGCACTCATGAAAAATATTCACAGTGTTTTTACTAACCTGGGGAAATGCTTCTGTTACTATAGCACCTGAAAAATGTGAGCTATGAAAGTCTAAATATAGCTCCAGTTGACCCTTGACATCCATGGAAGACACTTCAGCATATCATTTCTTCCAAAAGTACAGTAAAGTAGAGCTAACTTTTTAAGTAATTTTTCAGACCCTTAAAAAAATTACTGAAAGCGCACAACAAAGCCTTACTGGAAGGGAAACTTGGGACAGGTGGCTAGGTCACTTGCTAGTTAAGTGTTTTACTCGCAAATTGAGCTTTGCAGCATGACATGAGCAATTTAAATTTGTGCCTCAGCAAAATTATAATTTAATACATGTCATGAACTTCCAGGGCTGCTTGGGAATATCAGCTATCAGATATCAGAATATTAACTCTGAATGCTAAGGGTCTATTTATTATTCCTTTAACTGCAAAAGGAAAGGAAGAAAACATCCCCAAAATACTAGCGATTGTTATTTTTGGGAAGGGGGAACATATCAGGAGTGATTTTTCTCATCCTTCCTATTTCCGAATTTCTGAAACTTTCTATAATGGGCATGCATTACTTTTTTGGTAAACATTTTGGTGAAATATAAGGCATGTATTACTTTAATAATCAAAAAAGTTAAAGTTACTTGCTAAAAAGAATAAAATACAAGGTAAATACCTGGCCCTTTGTCGTGTAATCCGCCAAGATGTTAAGCAGCTTATAAAATACTTCGAACCAGGGAAGATAGCTGGGGAAAGAGGAGAAGAAACATGAAATATTAGTATGCAGGTCAAAAACTTTAACCAGGAGCTAATTCAAGACTGGTACATTTCCGTTTTTCCTCTACATCCTGAAGAGTCTTCCTGTTATAGGCTGCTGGAAACACAGACTGGTGGAATGCTAATTATTTCTGGGATTTTAAAAAATTGCCTGTGTAAGGTGAAGAATTCAATATCCATTATAAATTATTCCCATGCCTCAGAGCTAGAACAGGTTCATAGAGAAGAAATTCAAAGCAGACTCTGCAATCAGGAACCATCGCTGAATAGCCCCCCAGGCCTCTCCCACCACACCCACCCTTTCCAGGAAGCTTCTGTGCAAGTCCCTCATGATCGGACACACACAGCCACACACTCATACATACAGCACTCCCCCTGCTGCTGTCTGCAAGGTGTCCCAAAGGCCCCAAGAGCCTGAAACCAGTCATACTGTAGCATCAAACATCCTATGTGTACCGCACCCCCTCTGGACTTACTGCAGGACGGGCTCTAACTCTCTGTTCCCACTGCCCTCTACTGGGTCCTGACCATGGCACCCCTTCACTCCGAGGACAGTCTTGTCCTGACCTCACTCTATCCTCTCTCTGTGGGGCTTCAAGAATAAACTTTCTAAAATGCACATCTAAGTGGCCCGCAGATCCAGTGCCTGCAGTGGTGCCCCATCACTAATGGACTTCTTAGGATGGCGCTGGAGGCTCTTCGTTGGCAGGTCCCCGACTGGCTGCCCGCTCTACTTCCCCACATTCTGCAGTGCATTCTTCTCTCACTGCAGCCTCCCTCCCAGAATGGCCAGGCATCCTCAAGCCTGCCCGAGCTTGCATACACTTGGCCCTTTTCTCCCTCTGACCTTCCTGGTCTAGGCTAGCTTATTTCCACTCATCCTCCTAACGGTCCTCTGCAAGCTCCCCATCGCCGCCCCTCACGCCCTAATTCCCTCTTCTCTGTGTTGCCCTGGTCACATGCATACTCCCGTTAGAACATTCCACACACCATGTGGCACTCAATGGTGTGTCTGTTTTGCTAACAGACTGTGCATAGAGAAGGAAGGATCTCATCTTTCTTCACTTTGTCTTCCCGGGGCCAAGCGTGGAGCCCGGCATACCGTCAGCGCTCAGTGTTGATGGAACAAACACAACCAAACAAAGACTAAGAGCAAAGGCATGTTAATGTTATAGAATTGTTGTTGAACTATCTCCCACCCCACCCCCTGCCGCCCAGAAGTTTGTCACTTAATTTAAATGGCTTTATTCTCCATTAAGAAACTTTTCCAAAGCGACAAAGAGTCAAGCGAGGAGGGTGTTGTACCAAGCCCCTGCTGTCCTGCCCGCGTCTGCCCTGCTGAGCTCACGGGTCCGTTCCTGATAGAGCTGGATGCGCAGTGGAGCGCTGATCCCACCAGGCGGAGGGAACTCAGCACCCCGTACAGATTACCAGCTGTACTGCCGAGGGTAATAGATGAAGTGAGAGGCAATCCAGAGGACAGATAAAGTGCACAGTTCTCTATCATTAACGTCTGTCTGAAAGCCAGCACATGCTACTGTAAAATTTAAGTAGCTTATCAAAATATACTGATAAGCAACTTAACTTTTCACTTCTATGACAGTATTATCACTTATGTTAATATGTTTCAATCAGCTCTGGCAGCTGCATATTGACTATTACACAGCAAACGACTGCCGCCACTTTCCACAGCATTTACTTTGACAGAGCAGTGTAAACATTCAAGAGGGATTAGGGAGGAGATAAGTTTCTCCCTTCCTATTCTGTTAAATAAACCTCGGCTGAGTTAAAAGCCATTATAGTGGGAACAATAAATCCCCTCAGACGAAAACTCTTGCCCAGATTAGAGGACTCTTAATAAACAAATTCAACCAAGGATTACAAAAAAATTTTTTTCCCCCTGAAAGAGAAAATACCAGTAGTTAAATCCAGCAACTCAAAGTCAGGAAGGGAGCAGGGCGGGGGGCGGGGGGGCGGGCTGGTGACAGGGAAGAAGAGAAAATATTGTCTTGCAAGGAAATCATGGCCTCGAGGAAATGAGAGAAAAGCTGAAGTCATTTCAGAAATACTGGACGAAGTGATGTGGGGCAGGCTGGATTCTCTGATAATAAAGGACTGTGGTACACACGGGAGTAGTTTCTGCCAAGAGGTTCAAGTGGCCCCACTAGCACGGGCCCTGACCCCAAGCCCCTGCGTCCCCTCCATTGCCAGGGGGCTGAGGGAAGGCGATGTGGTAGGGCCGCCCGGCCCACAGCAGAGTGCCCAGCTTCTCTCACGCAGCCTTAACCTCACCAAATCAATTCTTTTTGGCTACACTAAGCAGAACCCTCAGCCATAGCAGGTTTCATAGTTACCCTGGAGATCAGCCATTTCTTTCTCGCTGTGGCCTGACCGGATGCAACTGTTGTCCACATGTTGTCCCCTGTGCACTGACAGATGAATATCCAGTGATGGCAGCGTTAAGGTCTTGAAACCAAAACCCAGCTGTCTTCTTCTTCAAAGGATCCCTCTTTTCCCCTGTTGGGAGGCCAGGGTTCACAGCTGAACCTTATCCAGTGGCGTTTCCTGTACCGCTTCATTAGTGCTGGCACGACAGTTCTGCCCGGCCTGCAGAGCTGCAGGTGAGGCTATGGAGCCCCTCCACTCCATTCTGTGCGTGTCTGTCATCATGGAGTAAACACTACTTCCCAGTCCAGAGACAGGAAACAAACACTCCATTACACTGCTCGTCCCTGGACATCTAGAGGAGTTCCAAACATCTCTGGGCCTGCTCCACCTGCTACCTTCATGCAACCACTCGGAGTCCGCAATGCTGAGAGAGCACCACCGTGCAGTGGGCTCAGTCCAACTAGGGCCCAAAAAAACAAACAACAAAGGGTCCCTGCATTTAGAAAGGCCATGGTCCTAGTGGGGAAAAGAGACATATACAACAAAATAGTTTGTGTGAGGGGAGTTGGAACTCTTTTCCAAGGGCTTTATTTAGCTCTTTGGATCAAGTTATAAAATTATCATGGCCAATCAGCAGAGCCTTCCTTGATGGGGAAAAGCCAAAATGGGACAAGGCTGCTTCCTAGGCACTGGCCATGATCCATGCTTCTCTCACCAAATTGTGGCTCAGGTAACTTTGTCCCAGGTTCTGCCATCATTTCCCTGGCCTAACAGTCAAATGGAGAGGCTTTTGTTTCGTGTGAGGCAATACAAAGTCTTAAACTTGAGAAGAACTCAGGGAGCATCCGAGTATTCCTACACACATTCCTACATCACAGGCCCTTGTAAGATGTGCAGGGGCAAGGTTCGAGACATAGTGCTTAGAGTCCAATGGCCCACAGTAAAAATCACCTGTAAAAGGCCCTTCAGTTGCCCCCAACATAGAGCAGACATGGTTTTATAGACACAAAGTAGCTGGCCTGAGTTTGCGGGGGGGGGGGGGGGGGGGGGGGGACACATACTGAATGAAAACTGTCTATGCTCCAATCTGTCAGCTTGGTGAGCTGCTTACCCTCCAGCTGAACTCAGGAACTGAGTCCGACCGAGGACAGATGACTTACATTTCTAATCTCGCTCCACTGAATGGACTGTCAGGATAATCATTCCCACTGTTTTGTGTATATACGCATGTGTCTAAGTGACCTTGTATAAGTGTACATATGATGGGATCCCACTCCAGTGTCATAAGTATTTAGATAGAAAACCATTACAAATTTTAAAAAGCTCTCCCACATCTCTTGCTAGTAGTTGAGTTCAAAGCCATCAGATGAGGCCAAGCAAGACAGGGGTGTGTGAGATGGGGAGCAATGGAGGCAGACACTGACCAAGCCAAGGAAGGTGGTCACTTGAGAGAATAATAGCTGTGAGCAGGACGTCAGAGTTCAAGCACAGGCAGGAGGAAATCCTCCTGTAGGGGCCACCAGGCCCAGACTGTTGGAGTCTGAGTGGGGTGAGAAGGGTTTCCTCGTAAGGGAAAGTCAGGGCTCCAGCAAGATCAGGAGAGAAGAAACACAGAAGGTGGCTTGGCTTAGAACGTCAGAACTCAAGATGGGGGGAAAGCGGTGTTTAAGTAGGGGCAAGGCCTGGCACTGGGTAAGAAAACATCTATGTCAGGAGAAAGAGGTTGACTAGACTGGTGTTGGAACCTAAGAGGAATAAAAAGAGCATCGGGAAGGGAGTTCAGTGTGGGATGTCAGAGCCTAAGTGGGTAGGAGGGCTTCTAGGAAAGGTGGTGAGGCAGAGTCCAAGGAGGTCCACAGTAGGAGGAGGCTGCAGTGTCTAAGAGGTCAGAGTCCAAGTGTGGTGAGAAGGACAGCCACAGAGGAAAGGAGCTACAGCTGTGAGAGTCTGATTGAGATCGATCAAGCATGTAAACATATAATGGAATTACTACGATCAGAGAAGAGAGTTACAAATATGGACGAGGAGAAAACAGAAATGAACCTATGGTGTCGTACTGGAATTAAATGTAACTGTGTGAAATCACGGAGACAAAAGAAATAGAAACACAGTATATGTATGTACATACATATGTGTATGTATACATTATATATACATAGATTCTCCAGCTCTAGCCACTGAGGGGCCCTGGAAGCAGAGAGAACCCAATTATAATGAGCATGCTTAGTGTCCAGATCTTGGTTTCTAAGTACCATTCTTCACCAAAAGGAAGCAGAGCTCCTTAAAGAAGGAAAAAAAAAAAAAAAAAAAAGAAATGTCTGATTCCAGAGCTAGGGCTGGGAAATATCTTGTTGTGCTAGAAAAAAGGCAGTGTTCCACACATGATTAGGACATGCCAACAGGACACAAGAGCCAGTGTGGAGGGGCCCCTGTTGACAAAATCTGTGACAATTTGAGCACCAAATCAAATAATAGAAAGAGATTATGTGATAATAAATAAAATAGGAAATTACAAGTCTGTGCTAATATAAATAAATGAATCAGAAGTCTGATGAGGATAAAATGAGGATATTCAGAATAC